TGATGGAGTAAAAAAAATATCACGCAGCATGAACTCACCGAATAATACCCGAGCACTATCCCACCGAAGAATAAATCACTGCTGCTGTTGCACTATTTTCCAAGGACTAAAACAATATATATATTATTAAATCTTGGGTTTTGTAATCAAACCCTAATTGTTACCGAGCTGAATTAGGTCTCCACAAATTAGACATAATATATTAAAATATATTATACCTAAACCAAACCAAATTGAAATTCTTTAACAAACCAATTGGGTCTCAAACTCCAATAAGAAGATATACCCAAACAATTCTCCCCTTATCGACTTAGGTGGAGACATCAACCATGCCCGTCAAAGTTCGATACTTCAAATGTTTGTCTCTCGACAAAGTCTTTGTCAACATATTCGAAATATTATCATACGTGTGAACCTTTTCGAATTGCAACAATTTCGAATCTAACACATCACAAATCCAATGGTATCTCACATCAATGTGTTTTGATCTCGAATGAAAAGTAGAATTTTTACTCAAATGAATAGCACTTTGACTATCACAATAAAGCACATACTTTTCTTGCTTCAAACCTAACTCTTGCAAAAATTTCTTCAACCATAACTCTTCTTTGCAAGCTTCTATAATAGCAATAAATTCAGCTTCGATAGTTGAGAGAGAAACACATTTTTGTAATTTAGATTGTCATGCCACAGCTTCCCCTGCAAATGTCATCAAATAACCCAAAGTAGATTTCCTAGAATCAACATCACCAGCCATGTCAGAATCTGTGAACCCATCAAGCATCGGCTTACCATCCCCAAAACACAAACACACCTTCGAAGTCCCTCGAAGATATCTCAGAATCCATTTTACTGCTGCCTAATGTTCTTTAACCGGATTAGAGAGAAAACGACTCACCACACCAACATCGTGAGAAATATCTGGCCTTGTACAAACCATGGTGTACATCAAAGAGCCAACTGCTGAAGCATAAGGAATTTTTAACATCTCTTTTTTGTCTTTCTCACTTATAGGACATTGATTCGAACAAAGTTTGAAGTGACCCATAAGTGGGCAACCAACCAGCTTTGCTTTATTCATATTGAACCTCTCAAGAACTTTCTCAATGTAGCTTTCTTGAGACAATCAAATCAACCTCTCTTTGCGATCACAAACAATTTTCATACCAAGTATTTGTTTTGCCGGTCCCAAATCTTTCATAACAAACGACTTGCTCAACTCCAATTTCAAACTGTTGATCATGGTAGACTCTTGACCCACAATTAACATGTCATCAACATAAAACAAAAGAATAATAAATTTGCCATTCGGAAAATTTTTCACAAACACACAATGGTCCGAAGTGGTTTTAAAAAAACCATTGTTCATCATGAAAGAGTCAAATTTTTTGTACCATTGTCGCGGAGCTTGCTTGAGGGGATACAAACTTTTCTTTAATTTGCAAACAAATTTCTCTTTTCCTTTCTCCACAAAACCTTCTGGCTGCTCCATATAAATTTCTTCTTCAAGATCACCATGAAGAAATGCGGTCTTCACATCAAGTTGCTCAACTTCAAAGTTCATACTTGCAGCCATGCCAAGTATAACCCGAATAGAAGACATCTTCACAACCGGCGAGAAAATCTTATCAAAATCAATATCTTTCTTTTGCCCAAAGCCTTTCACAACAAGACGTGCCTTGTACCTCAAATTCTTGCTATCATTCTTCAATTTGAAAACCCACTTATTTTTCAGAATTTTTCTCCCCTTAGGCAACTTCACTAAATCATATGTGTGATTTTCAACTAAGGAATTCATCTTCTCTTCCATGGCCTTTTTCCAATCATTTTTCTTTGCATGCTCAATTGCTTCTTGGTAGCTCTCGGGCTCCCCTTGATCGGAAATCAACACAAATTCATTGGGAAGATACTTTCTTGAAGGTTGTCGGTCCCTTGTAGATTTTCTCAACTCAAGTTGTGGTGGCAGGTCTTGAGTTGGATGCTCTTCCTTAATTTCTGGCTCAACTTCATTAGAATTAGCATCATCCTCCACATCTTCAATAGGTGGCTTCACATCTTCCCCATTTTCATCACCAACTGAAGATGAAGGAGATGGATCCATGTCAATGAGATCACTAGTTTTTGGCTTCGGTTGATCACCTTTGCCAAAGTCTTCAATTGTTTGGTCTTCAAGAAACACAACATCATGGCTTCGAATGACTTTCTTGTCGACCAGATCCCACAATCTATACATGAATTCATCACACCCATAGCCAAGAAAAATACATTGTCTTGACTTACTATCAAGTTTGGACCTCTCATCCTTTGGAATGTGAACAAAAGCTTGGCAACCAAACACTCTCAAGTGCTCATAAGACACATCTTTACCAGTCCAAACTCTTTCTGGAACATCACCATTCAAAGGATAAGAAGGAGACAAATTGATCACGTCAACCGCTGTCTTCATTGCCTCACCCCAAAAAGATCTTGGCAATTTAGCTTCTGAAAGCAAACACCTTGTTCTTTCCACAATGGTGCGGCTCATCTTCTCGGCAACGCCATTTTGTTGAGGAGTCTTCTTAACTGTCTTTTGGTGCCGAATACCTTGGCTATGATAATACTCATCAAATGGGCCAATGTATTCACCACCATTGTCTAATCAGATGCACTTCAATTTCTACCCTATTTCTCTTTCAACCATGGCTTGAAAATGCTTAAATACTTCTAGAACTTGATCTTTAGTTTTTGGTAGAAAAATCCAAACTTTCCTTGAATAATCATCAATGAAAGTAACAAAATAAATTGCACTACTATGTGTTCTAACTTGCAAAGGACCACAAACATCTGAATGAATCAACTCCAAAACATTGTCATTTCTAGAAGCAAAATTTTTATGAAAAGAAACTCTATGTTGTTTACCAGCCAAACAATGAACACAAGTTTTAAGATGTGTACCTTTTAAACTGGGTAGAAGCTCTTTCTTGAACAAAACTTGCAGCCCCTTTTCATTCATGTGCCCAAGCCACTTATGTCACAATTCAGTAGAAGTATCATCTTCAAGTACATTGACAACACCTTTACAAATTTTTCTTTGCATTAAATAAACTGTATGAGTCTTCTTGCACTTAGCCACCACCAAAAAACCCTTTGTGAGCTTCCATATTCCATTACCAAATTTGTTGTTGAAGCCTTCATCATCTAGCTTCCCGATATATATCAAGTTTAGGCGAATGTCGGGAACATGCCTCACATCTTTAAGCAACAACTTGCAGCCCAAATTTGTTTCCAAGCAAACATCACCCATGCCAATAATCTTGGACAAATCTTCATTACCCATTCGAACAGAACCATAATCTCCTTTGGTGTAGGTAGTGAAGAAATCAACTCAAGAAGTCACATAAAAAGAAGCACCGGAATCAATCACCCAATTGCTCTCTTAGCCCACAAAATTGATACAATCATCTTCATAAACGACCATGAGATCATCGGTAATAACTGCCGTTGTTTCTTCTTGCTTCTTATCTGCACTTTTGTCACGTCTTTTCTCCTTGTTCTTGAGTCTCGCTTCATGTGCCCTTTCTCATGGAAATAATAGCACTCAATGTCTTTCTTTGAAAAAGAACCATCTTTTGATTTGTCACGGCTTTGATCATGACCATGGGGAGTCTTACTCCTCCCCCTTGTTTTATTTTAGCCTCTCACAACAAATGCTTCCGAATGAGAAGAACCCGCTAATTTTCTTCTAGTTTCTTCATTCAACAAGCTACTAGTGACTTGGCCCATTGTGATAACTCCACCAGGTGCCGAATTACTAACCGTCACAACCAAAGTCTCCCAACTTTCAGGCAAAGAACTAAGTAGCATCAAATCCTGCAACTCATCATCAAAAATAATTTTCATAGAAGCAAGTTGGTTAACAATACTCTTTATTTCATTCAAATGTTCTAGAATAAGGCTGCCATCTTTATATTTTAAATTAACTAACTTACGAAACAGAAAGGCTTTATTTATGGCTGATTTCCTATCATAAAGGCATTCTAATTTTTTCCATAAATCATGTGCTGAAGTTTCAGTAGCAACATGATAAAACACACTGTCATCAATCCATTGACGGATAACACTAACAGCTTTTCGATTAAGCCTATTTCATTCATCATCTTTCATACCATCGGGTTTGCCACTATCACCCTCAATGGGTCCACACAAATCTTTACAAAATAATAGGTTTTCCATTTTAGTTTTCCAAGTTACCCAATTGCTTCCATTGAAGCTAGACATACAACCCACATTCCCCTCCATTGATTTACACAAATAAATAAACACAAATAAACCGTAAGTTCTGATACCAATTGTTAGGGAAAATATGTAATTCCTCACAAGTAAATCAATCAATGGGAATAAAAACTAATGCGAAAAAATTAAATTGAAAGTAACACAAGAATTTTACGTGGTTCCCTCAATGTGAGGTACGTCCACGGGATCGAAATCCGATTCCACTATCAACCAAATAAGTTTCCAAACGATTACAAACGAGACACGAATGGTCTCACAAATCACCCTTAGATGAATTCTAAATAATCACAAATCAACAAAAAGGAAAGACCTCACCAAAAAGATGAACAAAAATCTTCGAAACCAGAGTTGAAGAAGACCCAAAATAACGAACCAAATCAACCCACCAAATAATGATCAAACAAATTGATGCCCCACAAAACAAAGTCCACCGAATTGCTTGGGAACACACCAATTAATGATGGAGTAAAAAAAATATCACGCAGCATGAACTCACCGAATAATACCCGAGCACTATCCCACCAAAGAATAAATCACTGCTGCCACTGCACTATTTTCCAAGGACTAAAACAATATATATATATATATATATTAAATCTTGGGTTTTGTAATCAAACCCTAATTAATACCAAACTGAATTAGGTCTCCACAAATTAGATATAATATATTAAAATATATTATATCTAAACCAAACCAAATTGAAATTCTTTAACAAATCAATTGGGTCTCAAACTCCAATAAGGAGATATACCCGAACAATCACCGCCTTTATCGATAGTGCAGATTGTCATTTGGGTTCATCTCGCACCATAGAGCTATCCTTCAATCTTTGATATGGCCTGGACTTCTCACATTACCTTGGGTCTAGTTCAGTAATCGACATTTCATTCACAGACCATGATATTGACTTGTTTGCAGATTGATCTAAATCTAAAGATTTTGGCGTACTTTCTGGTTTGCTATGAGCAAAGAATGCAGGTTGTTGAGGATCTGATAAAGTAATTGAATATCTGTTCAACATCAAAATTACAGTTGCCACGGAGGGTCTGCTCTTCGGATCTTCTTGGACACACAACAAGCCAATATGGATGCATCTAATGAGTTCACTTCTTGAATAAGACCCTTCCAAAGTTGAATCCATCAAGTCCAAGGGTCTTTCCTCCATCCACAGTTTCCAAGCCTACAACATTTCATCATATATGACTTGTGGATGTGATGATATTCTCACCCAAAAGGAAAATAATAATTAGAATGGATGATTACTACTCACATAGCTAAGAAGGTCCTCAGCATTTCCTGATTTGTAAAAAGTATTATTCTTTTTGCCACTAATGATCTCCAAAACTAGGACACCAAAGCTAAACACATCGGATTTCACAGAGAATTGTCCATGCATTCCATACTCTGGAGACATATAGCCACTGCATACCAATACCACTAATTTAGCAATAAAATTAGATGATAACAAGAACCGCTATCTAAAAATTCATTTTGTATGAAACCAAAAATGAAACCATTGAGCACATAATGCACTAAAATTCAACTAAAAAAGTGTAGCCCATCAAGATTAATGTCACTACACTATAACAAATAAGAGTTTTAGAAACCAAATATTTTAGTATCTAAAAGTGAAAATTTTGTCGCAAAAGACATTTAAGGACCAATTTCTATCGTCATAAGGATAGTCATTAAAATGCTTTCCCGAAAAGTCCAAAATAAGGCTTTTAGCGACAAAATTTAAACAATGTCACTAATAAATACACTTTTAAGGACAAAATAATTTAGTTTCAAAATGGTTTATTTTTGGAGACAAAAAATTTGGTCTCAAAAGGATAATAATTCATTACTAATATCTAATTTTTGTTGCTAAAAATATAATAACGACACTTTTCGCAACAAAAATATTTCGTCCGTAAAAAATAATTTTGTCCCTGAATTTTAGTCTCTAAAATCTTAATTTTTTGTAGTGCTAGGGAGGTAGGTATAATATGCATCACTGAATTTGTTCATCCAAAGGGGAAGCTTTTGAAGAATTAGAGCTTGAGATTGCATAAATCAAGTATTCATTAATTTAAATTACAGAAAAACAAATACATGGGAATTTGAGACACAAACTTACTATGTTCCAACAACTCGACTTGTATTTCCTTGAGTTTGTTCCACACCGAAAATCCTAGCCATGCCAAAATCTGAAATTTTAGCATTCATATCTCCATCTAATAGAACATTGCTAGCTTTGAGGTCACGGTGTATAATTCTAAGTCGGGAATCTTCATGAAGATAAAGCATTCCTCGAGCTATTCCTCCAATAATCTTATAACGTTTGACCCAATCCAACTTTTCTTCTTGTTGTGGATCTACACATTGATTACAAAATATGTACTAGTTTACAATGAGGAATTTGAGTTGGGCAAGAAAATGTCTGCACGCAGTTTGATTTGAAACGGAAACACAATCATGGTTATGCATTAAAATTGTTTCATCTCTTCAAATTCAAATCATGTACACTCATGGCAATCATTTATGAAACTAAACAAAAAGCATCACTAAGAATTGGAGTTATTCAAATTTGCCATACCAAATAGCAAGTAGTCAAGGCTTTTGTTAGGCATAAATTCATATATGAGTATCTTTTCTTCTCCTTCCAAGCAATATCCCAGTAGTCTCACTAGATTTCTGTGTTGAAGCTTTGCTACCAACACAATCTCGTTCTTGAATTCTTTTGCACCTTGCCCCGAGGTTCGAGATAGCCTCTTCACAGCTACCTGTTGTCCATTGGAAAGTGTACCCTGATAATATACAGCATCCATTGAGATATTGGATCCAAATTTGGGAAGCAGTAAATGCAATAATATTTAATCCCATTATTGAAATCAAGTGCAATCTTACCTTGTAGACAAGGCCAAATCCACCTTCACCAATTTTGTTTTCAGTAGAGAAGTTGTTTGTTGCAGCTTGAACTGCACCCAAATTATATTGCAAGGATTCAGCTGTGGTGATATCATTTCCAACTGAAAAACCAAAAGATTATTGTGATAAATTAATTGATCTGTCACTCAACAAATAATGGCTAAAACAAGATGAGATGCACCAAAAATAAAATATATATACATATATATTCTCTTACTTGTATCTTCTTCAATGATATCATGTTTCTTCTTTGATTTCCTAGTTATGAAACAAAAGCTTACGATGAAAAGCAAAACAGAGACTCCAACTGGAACAATGATGGCAATAAGTAGTTGGGATGAGATTCCCCCCTTTCCTGCATCAAAACACATAGATAAAAAATAAAAAAAGAATGTTTCATTGAAAATCTGCTTTAGCATTGGAAAGTTGTGATTCATTCCAAATTCAAATCTCATATGTGAGCAGGTATGTTTATTTATTTATTTATAATCAATATGAAGGGAATTGAAAAATTGAGAAACTGTAATAATACTTGAATTCATCGACTAAGCTAATAACCTATTCAACTTGGCCAGATTTTGTTGAATCAGATAATTATTTGGGTTTATTTTATTTTATTTTTTTGTCCCCAAGGTATAAAATTTATGTCATTTTGATCATCAACATTTAAATTGTATCAATTTGATTCATAACATAAAAAAATATTTCAATAAGCATGACAAATGTGTAATTTTTTATACTAAAAGCATAATATAGTAAAATTTGAAAACTAAAAGTGAAATTTTGTAAGTGAATTTTCTCATTTATTCCTGACTTTATCGGTATCTGCTGTAAAAGTCATATTGAGGGATTTAATTGAAACTCTATTTGTACATATTGACACAATTTAAACATTAACAAGTATTTTTCATTTTTGCGATCCGAATCTAGCACAATGACCAAAAAAAGAAGTGATCTAGTCGATCCATGACAATCGATAAACAAAGCTTGGTTTGGATTTTGTTTAACAATTGACAGACATCTAGCTTTTGAGTTTACCTCGACTAGCTGAAGGTCCCGGAGAAGAAGGAAGGACCGGTGGTGGAGGCGGCGGAGCAGTGGCGGTGACGTTGTAAAAAGGGTAGGACTCATACCTAACATTACAACTCGGAAACAGAACCCTCGCTCCCAGATTTCCATCACAGCAACTCGGAAAATTCGAGATACCATCTCGAAGACATTTGTTGCAATCCAATAAAGTCAAGTCCGGCGTGCACTGCGCTAACCCGTACAGCTTTTGAAGCGACGAGAAATTAGCTTCTTTAGTCGCATATTTCTTACCGGACCCACCATTCGAAGCTCGAGTTGCTATGTCATCCATTACACCTCCCAAAATTTCTCTGAAACGGGTTTGGTCCGTAAAGTTCTGTGTATTCCTCAAAATTAATCCTGTAGATTCATCGGATTTGGAGAAGATGGACTCGTTCGAGTATCGTAACATGCACTCATCGTACCAAATTATGACATTCTTCGACTTGGGACAACGTTGGACTACTTCTTTAGTAGCAGAGGTTACGCAGTCTTGGCAGACGGCGGTGGAGACATCGCCGCGGCAGAGGAAGAGGCCGTAGGCTACGTCGGGGGGGTTGCGGCCGGCGGTGGAGTTGGAGAAGCCGTTGATGGAGGTGGAATTGGAGGAGAGGGAAGAGAAGAGGGTGTTGAGGTTGGTTTTGTATATGCTGTTGGGAGTGTAAGAGGTTGTGTTTGGGCAATCGATTGAAAGGAAATTTGGGGTTGATTTGGTTTTGATGCTTAGCAAGCAAACGATGGAGAGACAGAGGAGGACTCTGGAGGTTTTGATGGATTTGATCATGGTGATCAAAGTGCTTATTTTTAGAGACCCTTTGGGTGGTTCAATTTATAAATGGCTAACTTCACTTTTTACCCTCTCTTTTTTGCCAGATCTCATGAAGGTGCGTTATCAGTAATATTATAAATTTAAATTTAAAAATTATCATTTTATAATTTAAATTTATTCTGTACATAAATTACACACTAAATAAATTTAATTTTCACCACACAACCACCCACTCAAAATTTTCTGGGTAGATATGTCTGGTTTATAGACTTATTTATTTTTTATTGGGTAAATTACAAACACATTATATCAGATTACTTAAAATATGAACTGTTCTTTATATTTTAAAAAATTATATAATGTCATTTCATTTTTAATCACATAACAAATTATCTATTTTATTAATAAATTATTATGTAAATTAACAATGATATCAAAAATATATTTTAATAAACAATTCTAATAACTTTATTATCACATAGGAAAGTAGTATTTAAATAATTTTATCATTGTATAGAAAAGTAATTACAAATTTTATTTTTTAATTAATTCTGATAAATAAAAAAAATTTGACAAGAGGGCATCTATAATTTTCTAAACGGTAAAGGACATTCGTATTTTTAAGTAAATTTCAAGGTTATATTTCTAATTTACACTTTTTAATCTATGTGGGATTTATTAATTTCCAAAGTAAAAAGTTGGATAAACAATTTTAACTCTTATAATTTGGACTCCTTTAATTTAACTCAAATTTTATTTTAAATTAAATAATTTGATTATCATATTTTCACTGTAATTCAATTTGTTCCTTTTGTTTACGTTTGGGATTAAAGTTAATAATTTTGGAATAGTTGACAAGGTCTACACGTAAAAGTAATTAATTGAAATTTAGATAGAATGATCAAATTGCAACGAAACTTAAAGTATAGAGATTAAATTATTTAAATTAAAATAATATAGACCAAAATAAAACTTAGGTTAAATTATAGGAGTAAAATGTATTATTTACCCTGAAATTTTTTTTTTTGACATTTTAAGTTTGTCTTAATTTTATTTATAATTACATTGTAAGTTATGTCTTACTTTTTGGATTTATAATGAAGGTAAGACTCAACTTCATTACCTTGTTATTATGGGTGAATTATAAGTTATGAATTATGAATTTTTATCATTTTTATTTTAAAATAAACACGTAATTCTTACAATTTGTAAATTAAAATATACCACCCAAAATTCAGTTACAATTAACATGTGTGAAAAATGTGCCTTGACATAAAACGATTTATGTGTTTATATCTAGGGGGATTTTTTTTAAGATCCCCGATATTAAAATTTTATAGCACAGGACATCTAATATTTTTATAATGTCTAAGATCCCTGAAATCAAATTAGAGAAAATTTAATACAGAGAAATTCTCTTATCCAAACCAAAAAAAAATTCAATTTTGAGAAATTCTCTAGTCCAAACCAGAGAAATTCTCTCTGATTTATTTATAATTTTCTTTGATTTGTTTACCAGAGAATTTTTCTATCACCGTCAACAAGCACAGAGCACAGGCTACTAGATCTACAACAGCGTAGTGATTTGGGTTTACAGATCTATCGATTTGAGATCGATCTACAAATCCCCTGCAACAACTCAGATCACAAAACCCCCATCTTCTTTTCCCAATCTAACAAACCTATATTTTTATCACATAGAGAGAGAGAGAGAGAGAGAGAGAGAGAGAGAGAGAGAATCAAAGAAGACTAGAGCTCGAACTCAACCATCAATGGTGTACGTAGACTACGCTTTCTCCATTTCCAACGAACACATCATGATGGACTCCTCTTATAGCTTAAACAACTGCCCTCCGATTAAAGAGATCGGTTTTGCTATCTCTCTCTTCGTTTTCGGAACCCAGAATGAGAGAGAAAAAGAGAAAGCGGAAGAGAGAGAGAGAGAGAGGAAGACGAAAGGGACGGTGGTGATGGTGGTTAGCCGGCGGCACTGTGGCGACGGAGGTGAAGAGAGAGAGAGAGAGAGAGAGATGCAACGGTGAATGGAAAACATAGCGGTTGAGAACGAAATGTACAGAGGTCAAGAACAAGAATAGAGAAGAAAGAAGAGAGACAGAGAAAGAGTGAGAGAGAGAGAGAGGGGATGTGAGGAACCTTAGATATATAAAATAATATTGTGAATCTCTTCCATTACTAAAAATATAATAGGGATCTTAGACTAATTTTTCCTTAAATATATTAGAAGTAATATAAATGGTGTGAAAATATAAAATTAAAAAACAAATTAAAAAATATATACATTTTAACATAAAATAGATGATATATATATATATATGTGTGTATGTATTTATATATGTTTTAACTAACGATTTATTGATAAAAATGAAGTTGCATGTTATATGAATTAAACTTTAAAAGAGTTCATTGTAGTTACGAGACTTGCAGTAGTTTTTTCAAACCTTACGAAAAGTTAGTATAATTTATCAACCAAATAAGCCTAGTTTTGTTGGTCACTGTGACTCTCTTAAGGGCTAATGCTAATCTAACAGTTAATAATTGACTTTTGATGAACAAAAACTAAAAACTCAGTATAATTTATCCAGTTTTGTATCACCTCCATAAGAAGATATTTTTTACATTTAAAAATAAACACATAATTTTATGTAATTGTAGTATGTTGTTTATACAATTAACAACTCAAGCAAAAATAAGTCCCAAAGATTTGGCCTAATGGATGAGGTATGGGGCATGGGCATTTTCTTTCTCCAAAGTCTTAGGTTCAACTCCCTCACTAACAAAACCCTTAGGCCTCGCTTGTTTTGGGAGATGGAGAAGGGATTGTAATTGAGATGGAGGTGAGACCCACTAATATTGTATTTATTTTGGAAGATGGAGAGAAGATTGAGATGGGCTTCCAGATTAGGATGGGCCATGGAGAGGAAATTGAAATGGAGATGTGAGATTTGGTATTAGAAGTTAGTCCTCCAGCTTAGTATTTTATTTTATTTTTTATTTATTTATTTATTTTTTTTTACAGGTTGGCCATTTCTTTTTCTTTTTTTTTTTTTGAACATTAATGTTGAATGTTTTTGTATTTTATGTTAAGTAAAAATCATAAATTCGTTTGTTTTAATATTTTATATTTCTTTTATAGTATAATAATTTAACAATCTCTACACTAACAACTATCATCAAAACAAATACAATTTTATTTAATTCTCCCACTATCAATCACTTCCACTCTACCTCTGAAAACAAGCAGGCCCTTAGGGTCCCGAACCACAGGGGTTATTCGAACAATAAAAACTTAGTAAAAATATTAAAATATTTTTGTCTGCAAGTGGCATTTTTTACATAAATCATGAGAATTTTTTTTATTTTCTTAGGATAAAAAAATAAACTTTATTCTCTTATATTTTAACTCACTTACAATCCAATCATATTTAGATATAAGGGATAATTAGTCTAAGGTCCCCCTTCCATTTCTAGTAATGTAAGATATCCACAATATTATTTTATGATGTCTAAAGTCCATCACTCTCTCTCTCTCTCTCTCTCCCTCTCTCTCTCTCTCTCTCTCTTCACCTCTGTCACCACAGTGCCGCCAGTTAACCACCATCATCGCCGTTCCTTTCATTTTTCTTTCTCACTCTCTCTCTTCTTCTATCTGTCTTTGTCTCTCTCCTTCTAGGTTCCGAAAATTAAAAGAGAGACAGCGAAAGCGATCTCTTTGATTGGAGGGCGGTTGGTTAAGCTGTAAGAGGAGTCCATTATGATGTCTTCGTCGGAAATAGAGAAAGCGTGGTTTACGTATGCCATTGATGGGTGAGTTTGAGCTCTGGTCTTCTTTGATTCTCTCTCTCTCTCTCTCTCTGATAAAAATATGGGTTTGTTAGATTTGAGGAAGAACATGGGGGTTTTGTGATTTGAGCCATCATAGGAGATTTGTAGATCGACCTCAGATCCATAGATCTGTAAACCCAAGCCATTGTGCCGCTGCAGATCTAGTAGCTTGTGCTCTGTACTTGTTGACGGTGATAGAGAAATTCTCAGGTAAACAAATCAGAGAAAATTATAAATAAATCAGAGAGAATTTCTCTGATTTGGAGAGTTTAGATTGGATTTTTTCTAGTTGGACTAAAGAATTTCTCTGGTTTAGATTGAATTTTCTCTGGTTTGGACGAAAGAATTTCTCTGAATTGAATTTTCTCTGATTTGATTTCAAGGACCTTAATATATTATGAAAATATTGAATGTCCTGTGTGCTGTAAAATCTTAATACCATAGATCTTAAAAAAAATTCCCCTATATTTAATCGTAATTTTTTAAAAATAATACAATTTTATTAGAATTGTGAAACTTATTTTATTTTATCTAAACCACAATAAAGTTAAATGTAATGGAGAAAAATGGGTTGGAGGGTTGTTGTTTGGGCACGTGGAACTTATTATGGGTTTCGTTTCGATAATCTGAATTATTCATTTTATTGGACACTTTTTGTATTTCATCTACAGAAAAAATTAGGTCGATCCGATAACTATAACTAGTTCAATTTATCGTATTTTTAACAAACAAAATTTATGATTTATTTTTAAAAATACCAAAAAAAAAATTGTTAAAAATGTGCTAAATTGAATAAGTTACAATTATCATATCAACTTAATTTTTTGTATAGATAAAATACACAAAATATTCGATAAAATAAATAATTTAAATTATCGAAACAGAATTCGTAATAGATCTCATAGACCCAAATAGTGTCATCTAATCTAAAATCTGGACGGAGGAAATCCTCTTCCAAATGTAATTTATCCTATAAAATTTGAACATCTATGTATCCAACTCAAACAAGACAAAGTGTAGAGAAATTGTGTGGAGATGAAAAACGATCACCTTGTATGGTTTACATTCACTGTGTTTGGTTTGAGTTTTTTATTAAGTTTTTTGATTTTTGTGTTTTTTGTTTTTAGTGAATATTTTAAAATTTAAACATTTTTTTTACTTTTTTAGATGCACCTTACTTAGATGTGTCTAAAAAGTAAAAAACATTTAAAAAAATATTTTAAAAAATT